TTGTTCAGATTTTCATCTAGATTACTTTTAACATAAACTGGGTTATAGAACATTGGATAATGCACAAAGGGCTTCCTAAAACTATCTAATCCCCCTCCAAATATCTTTTTCTGGAGTAATTATTTTCAGAATATATTATGCTTATTAAGAAGAAACACAGAAATTTTAAAGCAAGTGATCTGCACTATCATTGGCTTAGTGTGCTGCAGTATTAAATTCAAAGGAGGAGTGTTAGTGTCAGTTATAGTGTAAGAGCCCCTGACTAAAAAGTGTGCCAGAGCTGATTGGTCCCTGTCACATGGACAGAGTATTAGTATGATACAAATAAATATATCTGCTCAAAGTACCTATTGTTATTTACCATGCCTTTAGTTATGGAAATGTCTAGAAACATGGAGCAGGGATGTGAGCTTTACCTGTGAGTTTTGTAAAAGCATTTTAGAGTGTTTTTCTGTTCAAGTAGCCTTATTTCTTTAAGCAGTCAGATGAATGAATATAAGAGATGAAAACCTGCTAGAATCTTACTCTGATATTTATGTGTGCACTCTGTGCTTAGGTGCTCATACAGTATATTAGTGTAGTGTTCTATCGTACACAACTTCTAACAGGAGTGGATATTGGCATAATAATAAGGAATGATCACAAATGAAGGAACTTGGATATCCAGATGAAGTATAGTGAGAGAATGTTTCCCAAACCAGGGTATGCTATATAGTACTTGAGGCTAGATTTTAAAATGCAGAAAATCAGTTATTTCTTGAGATAGTGTTTCAAACATTTGTGTCTTGTCTACTGCATCCCTAAAATAGCTTTGTAACAAATTCAGTAGTTGTTTTTAGAAGGCAAATTGTTTTTGCAGGAACAAGCAGGACCTTGTGCAAGCTTTTATTTAAATACTGAGAAAGGCTGGAGGTAGGTAGAAACATCAGTTACCTGAAAGATGGTATGTTTTCATTTTGGGATTTTATGCTGTCAGTTGGTATTGAACATACTTAAGCATCTCTAGTTCAAAATTCTTACTACACTGCTTCTAAAATTATAGTTGCTAAACACATTCTTGTTGCTGACCCTTTATGCACATTAGTGCTTCAAGTTCAACTCAGAATGCTAATTTTCTTTCTCTTAGTCTTTGCATCATCAGTGAATTGTGCAACTTAAATTATTTTACAACTGCTTTTTTTTTTCAGTGCAGTGTTTTCTTTATAAGGAGATATTGTTAATATAATAAAAAAATCCATTTGTCTCAATCAACTAGGTTGATTTAAGGTAGCAACTAATGTCTCAACATGCAAGTGTGCAGGATATGGTCAGAGTGCAAGACATTTCCCTCATGCCAGGGTCTCAGTGAAAGGCACTTAAGATACTCTTTTGATAACTCTGTCCAAAAGCTGTTGATACAAAGAAAATTGTTTCTTAGTTTTAGAATTCTGTGGTGGTGTCTTTCTTGAAAATGTTGAAATGGTAATCTGAAGCATTGCTCTTGGGCTTTCCATCTTTCCTCATGTGTTTTAATACCTTGTGCTTGTCCTGGCATACTAAGAATATAAAAATCATCTTGAAAGAGTAAATCTTTCTGTGTTTTTTCCCCCTAAAATATTGCTAAGTTTTGTTTCTTTACACTGTAATTTAAAACAGAATAGTCTGTCACAGTCCATAGTGGATAATGAAATGATACCTAGACCACACTTTAGTGCAGGAAGCCTCGCTTCCGTATGAAAGACTACACTGTATTGTTACCGTATTTTATCTAGGTATCCCAGAATGATGCTGCTCATTTTCTTTATGTTCTAATTCAACAGACACTTGAACAGAATAGAAGGTGAAGTGTTGAAATATAACTTGAATTCTGAAGTTATTTTCGCATGTTATATGGTTTGAGCTAGGCAGAAATAAAAACTATTTAAAATCTGTTCCCCTGCAAATGTTTTAGGAATCTAAGTGACTTGCTTTGTGGCATCACGTCAGAATCATTATCCTTTCTCCATTTTTTATGTCTAGTTCAATTCTAAATGACTTCTTTAGCAGAAAAAACCCAACCCAACTAAACAAAGTGCACACAACCCCTTACCCCTTATTCTGGTTTTATTTCTTGTTATAAATAAAGGTGTTGTATCCTTAGAAAGGTGTGATAACTCCCATTTAGATCATAATGTGCTAAAGTGGAGTGCATGTTTGCTGTGATCAACAGCAGTGGGAAAGAAAATGGCTATCAAAAGGAAAATTTGAAATTTTTAATTGGAATGTGCACTCTTTTTTGATATGGTTAATATTTTGAGTTCTTATGCCAAGAAGTTCATATACTGCTTTCTGAGAATTTTGTTTCTGCCCTCATTTATTGAATCAATTCTTTAATTAATGTCCTTTGGGATATCTTCCAGTTGTGGAACTTGTACTAAGATTTTCCTTTTACAGAACTTGCAACTTAATATTAGCTGTTTCTGAAGCGAGACACTAACCTCTCTGTGCCTTTTGCAAGTAAATGTTGACAGGCTCATAGGAAATGCAGCAGTTAGGAAGCTTGGGTGGGGACTACAAGGAGCTGGCAAATACTACAGGGTTCAGTGCCAGACATGCTGACACAACAGTACTTCACTTGTAGAAGTTTTCTTTAGGCTGCTAATTCTGTCTTCAGAATAACTGGAACCAAAGCAGTGTCTCTGATGCCAAGTTAAAACAGCTGAAGTAACAGTTTATGGGAAATTGAGAATGCTTTCTGTGGCTTAGATCCTCAGAAATATTAGTAAAAAGAGTAAGCTTCTCTCTTAATGAAGGGGTGAGTTAAGAGCAGTGCCATGAAATGAATGCACTGCAAAACAAATCCATCTAGCTGGAGTGTCAAAAACAGCTCAGAGGGAAAGGCTAGCATTGTAATGTATCTGTAAATACAGTTCTCTGAGTGGTTAATATCACAATTTCCATTTATTTGATTTAGCAGTTCATAGTCATATTTCATAAGGCACTCTTTTAATAGCTTCCTTTAGCTTTTAAACAAAAATTCTTTTCTTTAAATATATCTAAACACTGAGAAATGCTATGTGAGCACTTCTACAGCAGTTTGACCATGTCACATTAAGTATAATGTGTTTTGTCTTGAGTTTACAGTATTTCTGGTCCATGTAAGAGCCTAAGAAGTAGCAAGGCAAAGCTTTGAAGGGGGATAAAAGTGCAATACAGCTTAGGTTTGCTTTGCAGTATCAGGCAGCGTATGAGTTGCTGCTACCATGCTGTCTCCAGTTTTGTATGTGGGAGGACTTGCAGGAGGCATCATAGGGAGGAATCTTGCTGGGTAAGGCATGCCTGGCTTACAGAATATAAAAACTGCTGCAGTCTTGGTGGAAGGGTGCAGCAATATTACACAATCTTATTGTTTGATTTTTTTTAATTTCATCATCACCTTTAGATTTTAGGAAGTGCTTGTTTTCATTCCTTGGAGTGCAGGACTCAAATCAAGTGTTGGAAGAAAGGAGATTCAGATGGTGAATTTGAGCTGTTCAGTGTTTGTGCAGTGAAGTGTGCCATGACAAGTTGGCTTTAATGTTATTGCCTCTTTTAAGGTAGGCACATGCATTGTGCTATCCCACAAAAGTAGAAGTTCAAGTAGTAGACTGAAACAGCTTTGCCTAGAGCACCTGGACAGCATCCGTGGAGACATTGGCTTCAGCTGGCCTCAGAATTACAGATCACATCTGAAGTGTCCTCTGACCTATTTTATCAAGCTAAAATGAAATAAAAGCAATATATAATAAAATGGAAAGACTTGGTTTTAATCTTGGAGGATTTTTTTTTACATAAACTGTCATTTAAAATAAAAAGTGGATTGAGCAGTTTTTTGTCTAAGATCACCTTAATCATTTTTCATAACATCCCTCATCAGTTTGACTGTGTGATGTTGGACATGGATGTCTTTCTAGACCAAGATTTGTCTTTTCCTGAAGAGAAGCGCTTAGTTCCTTTTTCAATCTACGAAATGTAAAGTAGTGCTTTCTGAAAGCTATGTAGCAAGTAACTATGTAGCCCATGACTTGGCTAAATCAAGCTGTTCCACTCACCATTGATTTTCTTGTGTAGCTCTTGCTGGGGTTCCATTTTCATGCATCTCTGGCCAATCTGTAGCACATCTCTGAAATTCACCTTCTCTACTGCCTGATTGCTTCCAAATTATTACCTAGATTGTTGCCCCCACAACATGTATATAAATTCTCTTCCTGAACCAGATCCCGTCTTTGCCAGTATGGGTGCACATAGAAAAGGCAGGTGTGTCTTAGCTCCATAAAAGGGGCTGGAGGACATGTTTGGAAAAGGAAATTAAACAGACGGTTATTTTCCTGTGAGATAATAACAGATAAACTTTGGAGAACATTATCTTGGTCACAAATTTGTTGAATGAAGGAGGATCTGAGAGATGTTATGGTGACTCTTTGCTTCCAGAGAGAAGTTCCTTTGTTGAATAAAAATTGTGCAGTATCAGTGAAGTGATCTGGTCAGTGTCCAAGATTTGAACTCTCAGGGGATGTATTGCTGACATTCTCTATGGCCTATTTAAGCATTTCTGTTTACAGATTTGTAGAGTGATCTATTTGCAGTGCAGTGAGACTGCACTTCCTGTGGTTGAATGGTGTTGCTTAACTGTGGTCAGCTGAATTCCTTGGACAAGAGTTGGATTTTTCTAATGTAATGTCAATAGATTTTGCCAACAATAGCTGGCAATGAAGGCACATGCAAGTCTAGCATGAATTTCTGATGGTATATTAGATACTGTGAGCTTTGTTCTTAATAATTTTCTGCATCGTTCTGACAAAAGTGAGCTGAAAAAATGGCTTTGCAGTTATCTACTACAACTTCCATACTAAGTCTTTACTAGTAAGCAGGAGTTTTTATGAAGTTTATGGATGGACATTTGCTTTGATTTAGAAACACTTTCAGAAACATAGTAGCTGACACCAATTTTCTTAGACACTGATAAGAAAGTTTGAGTATCAAACTTTTTTTTTCCCCCCCAGATGGAGCAATTGTCAGATGAAGAGCTTGACCATGGTGCCGAAGAAGATAGTGATAAGGAAGATCAGGATCTTGACAAGATGTTTGGGGCCTGGCTGGGTGAACTGGACAAACTCACACAGGTGAGGGACATTTCAATCATCTCATGGAATACTTTTTTCTTAGTATTATGTTTCTTTTCATTTGGATGCCAACTGCTTCACACTGCCACTTGCAGCAAGGCAGACCATAGCTTGTGACCGGTTCAGTAACCTTTAAAGGTTTATAAATTGTCTTGTTTTCCCCATCCTGATGTTGTTTATTCATTTTGTACAACCTGCTAGCTTGACCTGTCACAAAGAGTATAGTTCCTTCCAAGAATTATAGAATTGGTATTTTGTCCTTACATATGTAGAGCAATATGGATTTCAGCTAATAGGCTGTGTCTCAAAACATGTGATTTGACATTGTACAGCTGTGACAGCATTTATTTGTTGCACCTAAACAGCAATAAGAAAAAACGTGAATGCAATTGAATAGAAGCAGCTGATAGGACATCTTTTGGTCCTGCTTTCGTTCTAGTGCTTTTCCTTTGCTTCACAAGCAGCTACTGCATTTGGCGTGGTGTTTGCTACACTCCTGGGGTGATCAGCCATTTCTCTGTGACTGCATGCAAGGGGTGTTTCAGCTGTGTGAACTGGCCTTCCTGAATAACGTATTTAATTTTCTCCCTGTTTGTCATGTAGAATTTAGCAAAGGTATGATAACTGAAGGGTCATTAAGCTAGAGAAGAGACAGTTTTTCTCATCTTCATCTTACCTGAAGACTAAAGGAAAATTGAGCTAATTATTGTAGTGGTTTTGGTTCAGGTATTGGTATTTGGTAACAGGATTTCAAATTCAGTCTCATCTCTGCTAATGTCTGCCAGCAAGTTCTAAGGGTATATAGCACTATAGGGGAAAATGTTTGTTTTTTTTCCTGAGCTCACACATGCAAGGCAATAAAGAATCCTGCCTTCTGAGATGAGTGGAAGAGTGTGACATGGATCTGCATATACTAATTCTTTCTGATTTTTAACTTCCTTTGAAGGATTTTTAATGGTATGAACCATTTTGAAGTCATAGGCTTTGTAAATCGCCTTGAGGATATTCACAGAGGAGAGCAATGGGTCTCAGACTCATTAAGCATTGCATAATTTTGGATGTTCTGCAGACCTGTTGAGTTTCAGTGACAGCAAGATTCCCCATGTAACACATTCCACTCCAGGGACAGCAGCTTCTGACCCTGTCATGTACTTCTTGGGTCAGTAGCTGGATCACAGTTGCCCTGCAGCTTGCTACTTATAAAAATCCTGGTATTTATTATAGCCATTGTAACATAACAATTCAAGGGGTCTTAGTTCTCTGTTCTCTGCCCCATTTTTTAATGGTATGAGCAGCCTAGAAATATTAAATATAAAAATATCCTTTACTTGGGGCTTATAGCTGCACTACTGACATGCAGACTTCAGGGTGACGTCTCAGTTTGTTGTTGGTCCATGCAAATTTCTTAAAACCTATTAACCCTTACTTAATGGTAGGACCCACATTATTTGTTTGATACCTTCATATTGCTGTTCAAGACAGTCTGCAACATAGCCTGGCAGTTGCCCTTCTATCTTGCACAACTACAGAGAAATGGCATTTCCCCCAAAACTTTGAATGACCCCATATTGTTCTGTATAAACAAGTTAACGGAGTTGGTTGTGTCTCAGTTCATTTATTTGGACAATCATCAAATCTTGATGGGGCAGTTCCAATGAAGTCCCAGTAAAGAGGTGGTTAATGAGATCCCAAGTGCATTCTCCTCTAGTTTCTGCATTTGTTGCTGTCTGTCAGCTGGATTTCAAGAGCACTAAGAGGAAAGGTTTTTGTCCCCGAGATCCTTAATCTTTAACTTCTTTTTAGATTTCCTAAATGTTTATTTTGAGGAGGTTTAAAGTAAAACCCAGATGTAACTGCTTTTTAAAAGATCTGGATTTGTTTAAATGCCCATGGGAATCATTTGAATTCACTTTTCCTCTTTAACTCTTGGTCTAACAAAAGCATTATAAACGAAGTCACAAAATCTGCAGCATGTGTGAGCAATATTTGGCATTGATGAAGGGTGTTTTAACATTTATTCTGCTTAAGTTTTCCTGCTGTATGGTGCAGGTTAAATGAAAAAAAATTTACCTTGCTTCTCATGATTATTTAGAATTAAGCTTTTGGAGCTGTTGCAGTTTTTAGCAGTTCTCCAAACTGCTGGTTTAGCAGTCTAATGCATTACGGTGAATGTGCTTAGATAATAGTGAGGGCATATCACATGTATGTCCAATGATCTGCAATAACTTTAGTAAAGCCAGTAAAACACAGTTGAGGTGCTTTCAACCAGAGTATATTTGCTTCACAGGAAATCTTTTGTAGCAGTCTATGGGTTTGGTCTGAAGGAACAGGGCCTAACTTGCCGTTTCTGTCTCCAGTTTTAGTGATGTCTCTAGGGTTATAGATTTTTTTTATTTTTTAAAGTTCAGGCCAAGCTGAGGAGAGAAGGGAGCTCAGGAAGAATAAATATTAGCATTTGATTTTTTTAACAAAGGCTTGAGTAAAAATGTAGAAAATGAACATAAAAAGTTTAGGTGAGAAACTTAATTTTGTTGGAACTAGAAGATGCTTTTCCTTCAGGCAAGCGTATCTTCAGGAACTCTTTATCAGTACAAGCATTGCCTAATTTCAGATTTTCTACAGGGCTGTTGAGCTTCAGTGACAGCAAGAGCTGGATTCCCCATGTAACACATTCCACTCCAGGGCCAGCAGCTCCTGACCCTGTACTACTTGAGTCAGCAGCTGGATCACAGTGCCCTACTGCTTGCTACTTACAAAAATCCTGGTATTTATTATAGCATTATCCCCATATTAGCCATCATAACATAAAAACTGAGTATATTGGTTAGAAATACTTTTTTTTTAACATATGCTAGTTTTCCTTAAAAAAAAAAATGTGTCTTACATAAACAGGCTGGGGTTGGTTTTCATAACTTAATGTTATTAACAGAAAAGACTATTTAAAAAAAATTCTGAGTTCAGTGGATTTAAATCCTTGTTAATAAAATAGGATTCTTCATTGAATGTTTTTAAGCACTTATGCCATGATTATGCTCATAAGTTAATATGGATATCTTAGACCTTATATTAGACTGTTATCCCACTTTGAATGTTGTGCAGTTTCCTGGCTGTCTGTTTCAAAATGAGCTGATGTGTAACACCACTCAGAAAAGCATTTGGAAAATGCATCTCTCTTTTTGATCCTGAAAAAAAGCAGAATGTGTTTAACAATTTTTCTTCACTGCATGTCTGCAATTAAATCTTTGTAGTATGACAATGTTTGTTTTCAGTCTGAAGCCTGAAAAATAGGGCTGCTTTTATATATACCAGTAACTTTTGAAAAATTTCTCTTAGAGAAAATTAATTTTCATTCATCTTAAAGATTTGCTTGTCCAATTCCTTTATTTATTATTAAAAGAAAAAACTTTATTTTTCCATTTTTTGGATCTCTTTCAGAGTTTGGATGCGGATAAGCCTGTGGCACCAGTGAAGAGGTCACCTCTCCGCCAGGAAACCAATCTTGCCAACTTCTCATATCGCTTCTCCATGTACAATTTGAATGGTTTGTTGAATTATTTACCACATATAGTTTAAGAAAAATACTAGTTTAAGAAAAAAACCTATTCCAGCTATAAATTAAAATATTGTAAAATATAAGAACATTTGAATATGCTTATAGCTGAGAGATGAGATAGGTGGGAACATATTTGCTGAAGAAGAAAGGGCATCTTGTTTTATGGAACAGGATGCAGGAATATAGCTACAGAATGCTTTCAGGATAAACAGAACAAAACCTTAATTTAAAGGTTTGATTTTTTTGTTTTGGTTTTGTTTTTTTAAAGCAGTTGCATTACTTTAGCACAAAATGTTTAGCAAAACATCTGCACCTTTTCAAAAAGTGAGGCATGATATTATGCAAATGTATTTTAACATTCTGTTCACAGGAAAGCAGTTTAAACTTTTCAGATGTAATCTGAACATTCATAGACTTCTTTTGCTGACAAATGAGTTTAACCTAAATAGTGTGCAAGTTGCATGAGTTTAACCTAAATAGTGTGCAAGTTGCACTGGTCAAGGATAGTAGTGCAAATGAAATTCTGTTCAGCAGTGCACAGATTTCTGCAATGCAGATGGGAAAAGAAAATATTGCTTCCTTTGCTCTCTTAACCATTAGATTTGATAACACAAAGCGAGGCGTTGCAAATGAAATAACTGCACGTACTGGCTACTCTTGTTTGACATACTGACTGTACTTGTTGCAGAAGCCCTGAATCAGGGGGAGACTGTGGATCTGGATGCCCTCATGGCTGATCTCTGTTCCATAGAGCAGGAGCTCAGCAGCATCGGCTCTCATTCAGCAAACAACGCTGCAGTGAAACGCCTTGCCACAGAACCCAAAACTCAGAAACCACCTGCTAGTCGACCTTCTGCTAAGCACAGCAGCGTGAAAGGATTGTCCTCCTCCTCTGCTAAGGTGACTAAACCATCACATGCCAACGTGTCTCTGGATGACATCACTGCACAGTTAGAGAAGGCCTCTTTGAGCATGGATGAAGCAGCCCAGCAGTCTCTTGCAGAAGACACCAAGCCAGTGGTTGCTGCCCAGCACAGGAGGACAGCGTCTGCTGGCACGGTGAGCGATGCTGAGGTGCGCTCCATCAGTAACTCCTCCCGTTCCAGCGTGACCTCAGCAGCTTCCAGCATGGACTCCTTGGATATCGATAAGGTGACGAGACCTCAGGAGCTGGACTTGACATCACAAGGGCAACCAATCACTGAGGTAGAGTGTCACTAATTCAAGATTTTTGTTTGGTTTGGGTTTTTCTCTTCAAATGTACACCACATTTCCCGTGCTGACACTCATAGCTAAACATCTGCAGTGCAGTGGGGTTGATTGAAGACTTGCTTTTACAGGAACTGCACATGCTGTAACTACTTCTTTCTCTGGTTTTGGTTCTGTCTGCAAGGAAACTTCTTATAAAGAATTGTTTTGGTTTTGGATTTTTTAAGAGCTTTTCCCATCCCTTCTTCTTCCTCTCAAGCCAGTCATGCATTTTAATGTTTTTATAGTTAATATTTTTATGCAAAGTAAATATCACATATTGCCCTTAATTTAAATCTGAAGAGTGAACAGATGGGGAAAAAAGGAAGCACAATTGGCAAAACTCCATTCCTGTTACAGTACAATTAATACCTGAAATACATGGAGCAATCTGTGGGTGTCTATCTGGAGCTATACTATACCGATAATTTGCTGCTACTTAATATTCTTGTTTAATGTATGACAGGAGGAGCTCTTTGAAACAATACACGACACAGTAAAATAACTGGGCTGCAATACAACATTAGCAGATATTAATTTAGGATTTTGATGTTTTGATATTGATTAATCAGAGAGGAAACTTCAGTGAGACCAGCCAATTCAGTGAATGTTGCAAGTGCTGGTGACTTGTGAGAGAAAATGTGGAAAATGTTCCAGTAAATTTTGAGAACTTAAACTTAGAAGTTCTCTTGTAGAAATACTCTCTGAAACAGAAATCTGACCTGTTAAAATGTCAGTTGTACTAATATGCATGTTCTCTTTCATGAGAGAAAACTAGAACAAGCTGAGTTTATTCTAATCAATAATTAAAACTGATCTGAATGGGCTGTACTGAAAGCTTCGTTCTACACATCTGTAACAAAAGTTCATCTGATATATAGTGAACAATGCAGGCTTGTCATTCTTATGATCAACTCATTGGGGTCACACTTTGATTTAAATCTACTTGAAATGGTGAGAAATGAATGACAGTTTAGGTCGACTCAACTCATTGGGGTCACACTTTGATTTAAATCTACTTGAAATGGTGAGAAATGAATGACAGTTTAGGTCGACTTTCTTCTTGTATGAAACGTTTTTGTTCAGTTTGCTTTTATTGGAGATTTCATATTGAGTGAAGCAAAACAGATAGAAATGTGCCCTTTACTCTTTGTGAAGTTAAAATGCAAACCTTTGCATTATTGCTGTAGGCCTAAGTGTTCAAGCCCAGCCTATGATGGCCATTGATTATATTGTTGTTTATTTGAGAATCATTTTCTTTTCATGGTATGGTAAGGCTTATTTTTGGGTTTGGGTTTTTTTGTGCATCTCCAGCTGTTATTCATGATTATATGTCTGTCTTTATGATGTAGAAAGTTAGGCAGTCTTGCATTTTGGTCTCTTTTTGGGCTAAAAAAATGACTTTTGTGAATTAGTTTCTCTAGCTTGCATAGCCTAAGAAAAGCATGAATGTTGCAATTTTTTGAATTTTAACATAAGGTCTTTTCTGCAGATTTCTGCAGATCTTGCAGGTCTTCCTTCAGATTTTCTCTTTTACTTTGAGAGTTATATGCTTGAGGCGTCAAAATTGCCCTTCTTGTCTCCCAGGTTTTTTCAATCCTTTGTGTCATGGGTAATCAACAAACCACCTGCTGCACTTAATTAACTTGATGTTGGTGAATCAAGGGACAGAGGTCAAGAAGTTGCTTTGTCTTCACAGGAAGCTAATCTATATTGCTGCAAGGATTGCAATTGCTGTTCCAGTTGCTTTCTGAGCTCTTGGCCACTGACTTCAAGGCTCAGAATCATTCCCAAAAGCTTTTCTCAAAGGCATGTGAGAGCTGCCTTTGTACAAACCCAGTGATTGCTTCTTATATAAGAATGTGGCTATTGTTTCTCTGCCCAGATAAGTTGATAAAAATGATTGATTTCTTTGAAGGAGGTATCCAGAAAGTATCAGTAATTTGAGATCCAGATTCTGCTCTCCTCTTGAGAACAGAAACCTCTGCACTCATTAACCATGCTGTTTGCTTTGGCTCTATCTATTCTTTTCAATTTCAGTAGCCTGAGGAAGGTGTTCAATTCTGAGTCATTGTCCACAGGTTTACAGAATTGGTTTCAACTATTCAGTTTTTAAATTGTTATGTGATGGGATGGGACTTACTGAGAATAAGTTTTTTTTTCTCATGACTGGTGAACAGAAAAAGGGCAGTGACTTTTTTTTTTGAGTTTGTGACAGATTCTGTGGTTGTGCTTTTTAAATGAATTTGGCTTTTAAATGGATTCTTTGGAAGAATCATTTGGTATCAACAAAGCTGTTTATTTCCTGTGTCATTCGTTTAATGCCCAAAAACTAGTTTAAGGGTTTATTAATTCTCTTGGCTAGGTTGTGAACCAAAACACCTTTCAGTAGGGCTGCATTGTATCCTCCCACCCACACAGTTGACTCAATGGTGCTGTTTCTAATAGAAAACATCCCTCTGAGGAAATAGCCTTTGAAGAAATCCTAATGTCCATATAGGGAAAAAACCCAACAGTTTTTATGCAGAAAGTGGGAGAGGCTGTTTATTCATGGTCACAGCAGATCTGTTTTGAGATTTGTTATTCTGAAGTAGTGCTTCAAGTTAGCTCTTTTCTTTTGCCTGTCTTCCTTGAGACTGCCTGTAGGTGAGCTGACCTTTAAAATTTTTCTTTACTGCTGTGGCTCTTCTGAAAGAGGTCTGTGTCTTGGCAGCTCTGCCCTTTTGACCGATACTTTCTGTCTTCTCCAGGCAATATAGGTACTTTAAAAAGTCATCCTTTGTGCTGTAGCTTCATGTTTTGCTCTTCCTAAGAAAAATGGAAGACTATTTTGATGGGAGGAAAAGAGAAATGAGGCTTTGCAGTTATAAACTTAAATATTCTATCTTAAAAAAATAGTTCTGCTCTGTATTTAAGAGCTCTCTTAGATGGAAGTACAGGAAAATCCTGTAAAAGAACAGTCATGCACTGGCCCACTGAAGGTATGTGTGGTCTAGTTACTATCTGGCTGGTAATAGAGACCAGTATTACGGAAAAAGGCTGCAATTCCACAACCACCAGCAATGGGAAGATATGACTTCCCTTTCCTCTCATCCTTCCTTCCTCACAGTTCTTCCTTACACTCTCATCTCCTCCCTTGTCCCAGTTTTGGCACTTAACTGGTACTTAGTACACCAAAACTTTGTGCTTCTATTCTAGGCCTCATTCTGTGTTATTTAGGTGAACTGCAGAGGCTCAGGAGACTGATGCACATTAGGAGAGGTTGTAGCTAGGGACTGGAGGCTGGAAGGGAGGGCAGGAACTCATTGGTGGTAATTGATTATTTAGAACTTCTTGCCTGAGCATTTGGACAGGCACCTTAGTGTCCTGTCTTTTTCTTCCTCCTAGCAGCCAGTACTGTAGGCAATTCTAGGGGTTGCAGATAAATCAGCATGATGACAGATGATAACTCAGTGCTTGTATTGGCCAAGACCATCCTTATACTCATTCTGCATTTGTCTTCAGGCCACTTTCAGGGGAGTTGAATGGAGTTCCCTTGGTTGTCTAAAATTGTGGGTTTATTCGTTGTCATCATTGTTTAATTTTCTTCCTTTCCTACTTTCCTTTCGTAGTACTATCTTTTTAGACATTGTGAATATTGATGTTTTGAAGACTTTTGAAGTCTTTGAAGGGCTACAATCACTCTGTAGTTTTGAGACCTTGTCTCAAGTTTCTGACTGCACTTATGTGCTGGTCTTCAGTCTCCCCTTAAGTATTGTTGAATAAAAAGAAAAGTTGTCTCCACCCCGCCACATAATTTTTGCTAAATTTAAATTTGTCTTTTACAAAATGACTTCATAGATCCTCGCTTGAACAGTATTTTTTCTTAAATTGGTAGGTTGCATTTAATTTTCTATGCTTTTAGTTGTGCAGTGAGTGGCATGCACCTTAAAATGTAGTTTCTGTGGGGGGTTACTTTACTTGTGTAGACCAAATTAGTGAAGCATGAGTTGAAGGTAGGGGAAATGATGTCTCTATGACCAGCTTGTTGCCTCCACCCACATTGTCTTTTTCTTCTTCCTTTGGTCCCTCTGCCAGCAAGAAGTTGTCTCTGTTTTCAGTGAGCTGTGCTAGAGCAGAAGGAGAAGAAAGCAGAAGGGAGAGAATAGACGACTGTGTTGATGATGCTTATGTAGCTGTTTGTGACTGGTGGGTGAAAGGCTCCATTCATGGGCAGTCTTTGTTACTGTCCTGCACACACTCAGTGAAGAGGTTGCAGATAAGTTTGATGTCTGCCATCTGGTCTGGCACAGTTCAGCATCACCCCCCACCCTCTTTATGTCTGTAACCCAGTTTGCACAGCTGAGAGATTCTGCACATACAAAGATAATGAAAAATTTATCTGGTGACACCACATGATTTAATTGCACACTTTATTTTTTAGCTTTTACTTAAACTTACTGTAGATTTAAACTTGATGCATGAGGGGTAAAAATCATGAGAAGAGAATGCCAGTGCAATAAAGCTACATGGTTTTTGCTTCACTTGACAGAGAAGGCAGTGTAAATATTAATGTTTCTTTCAGGGTAAAAAAGGGAGCTTTGGAGGCATTGACGGCAGCAATTGTCTTGTAAGCTCAGCGCACATAAATAAATCTGCACTGGCTAAAAGATCCTGTAGGATAAAATGGAAAACTTGAAATGGATGTAAGGGATCATAAAGTTTGTGTTTCATAGCAATTTTGCTATAGTTCTTATGCAGACTTGTTAGCATTTCATTTGCCTGTGCAGTGGTATAACACAGAAAGTTTGGTATCCATTTAAAATTATTGAGGCTCATGTTTTAAGTGTGATTGCTAAATGTTGCTATGTGTGAAAAGGCAGTTGACTGTTCATGTATGCAGACAAACTGATGATATATTTGGTCTTTGTTAGGCAATGGTGTCTTAAAATAGAATTGGACTGCTGAATCTCATCTGT